TCTTTCCTTCCCCGATCCCCTCTCATGTCATTCTTATTCCGTACACTTCTCAGCCAATTTCAATTTTTTTCTTTACCATCGGATCTGCATTTCGATTTCTCCAATTTGACGATATGCGATTCTAATAAGGCGTAGACTCTAACTCCACCACAAAAACTAGCTGGAGGTTTGACCCTTACTTATATATTGACCCAAATCCCTCTCATTTTCCAATGTGAGACACTTATCAATACCGCCCCATTTAAACAACGACATCCACGGCGCTGGGTAAATATGGTCGATGGCGGCTTCTCGGTCACTGGCGGCTTCTCGATCCATCCCCGACCGTTTCTCTCCTGACCGTTCCTCTCCTGACCGTCCCACAACCACCGAGTCGACCACATGTCCGCAGAAAAACGACCCGTTAAAGGTCCACCGGAAAGTAGAGAGTTAGACTCTGATACAAATTAATAAAGTTTAGGCCCTAACTCCACCACAGAAACTAGTTTAAGAGTAGATGTTTGACCCTTACTTATATATTGACCTAAATCCCTCTCATTTTCTAATATCGGGCACTTATCAGATTCATTCCTATTATGCTCTATTGAATTAGTGAAAGAGTTCGAAAAATGGAAAGAGAGAATCGAAATTTTGAAATAAGTTAGGGGGTGCATATTTATACATTTTACTTTAATTTTCTTTGACAAAAAAAGTCAGGAGTGTACACTTTACACATCTCATATCAACGAAACCAACTTACTTTCCACGACACAATCTTCGTAAAAATAGAGAGTCCTTTCCTCGTTCCATCCAATAAACCTCGTTGCATCCAACTGAAGTCTTTTATGTTTTTTTATAACCAGAAATAATGGATCTCGAACCTTCCCTCCGAATACATCCACCCTTGTTACGGAATCAACCTTTGTATATGAACCATTTTGATCTAGAAATTACATCTCTCCCTACCAGTCGAATCGAACTCAATACCTTTTTTTTTGTTTAATGTGATTATATTAGATCTCCAAAAAAATACATCAGTTCATTAAACAACGAAATTTACAAAAACTTGGATTCCCATGTGTAAGTGGACAAAATGAATTTACGTCAAATGTATCGTGCCGTCTAACGTAGGCCTTCCGTCAAATAGTACCAATCCTCGAGTAAACTTTTGTGGCGTGAGTTGTTGCCCAACTGAACTGACAATAATAGAGTACGCATCTGCCGGTCTAGCTTAATCCGTGCATCGTGAATTAATCTCGCTTTTCCCTTGAATATGTGATCGTTCCTTTCTTTCCAAATTAGATCCACCATAAGGTGACATAAGGTCTTAGCCAAAAGACCTCTACTTCTATCTGTGGCATTACCGTTTTGGCGCTGCCAATTTGTGACTTGTCTCAAATCTGATGGCGGAGAGTCCCAAAATCGTTCAGCAAAGTGATTCCATATGGCAAGGCTGTAAGGACAATCAAAGAAGAGGTGAGAGTGGCTTTCCGGGGCTAAACCACAAAGACAACAAGCTGTCACAAGTTGAATCCCCCATCGGTGCAGACGGTCGGTCGTTGGTAAGCGTTGCAGCTTGACTTGCCACATAAGAAGGGACATTCTCGATGTCGTGACAGGCAACTAAACCTCGGAGAACCAATCAACCTGCGTAGAAGAAGGTTGTATCAACTTCCATGTTTGATTCGAAGAGAAACATGGTCGAAATTCTCCATTAGCCTACTTCCAGAGGGTGGTGTCTGATCTTTTTGAGTCGTTAGGGGGCTCAATTGCTGCTATTGTTGTTTGAATCTGCTGAATAACATTAGAACGTGCTCCCGGAAATGACCAAGTAGCCCCTGCAGCGGTCTGAGCAACCGTGGCTTCTCGGGGAATTCAGAGCATGCGAGGGCCTGTCTCACCGGCTAGAGAAATAAATGGGCCAGCCTCTGTCCAGTTATCAAAACCAGAACCTCGTGGTTCTACCATCACCAATCTTCTTCTTCATAAAGTCCTTGGCCTTTTCCCTGATGTTGATGAGTTTTCTGAGAATCCAAGAGAACCTGTTTGTAGGTTTACAGCTCCAATAACAAGTCGCCTTAAAGACATTCCTTTGCACCCATGCTACCCATAAAGAACCTGATTTGGTGAATAACATCCATATCAACTTTAGACGAAACACCGTATTAAAGTCTTCTAATCTCCTCAACCCAAGGCCCCCTTCCTTTTTCGGCATACAAATAGAAAGCCACGAGATCCTATAAGAACCTGATGAACCCTGACTGCCTTTCCATAAAAAACCCGAGCATAAGCTGTCCACTTGCTTCAAGAAGAACCGTGGAAGTGCAAATATCAAACTCCAAGAATTGACCAGTCCATATACAACCGTCGAGATCAATTGTATCTTCCCAACATATGACAGGTATCTGTTACTCTAAGAAAAAATTTTGCTTTTGATTTTTTCGAGTAAAGGTTTCTATTCAAAGTAAAAATTAAACAGTGCTAAACCACAACTGTAACAAGAGCCCTGTTTTAGGCCCGTAGATGAAGCCACTAAGTCAGCCTGATGTAGTCTTATTCCGCCCAAATAGATCTCTGACTTGTTTTGGTTCATTTCTAATCCTGACATCTTACTGAAGCCATCTAGAATGCGCAGTGCCCCTTGAACTGAATCCACTTCTCCTGAAAATCATAACATCATCCTTTATGACTTATCAAGTCTTTTATGTTTATGTGTCCCACATTTTCCTATACTGAAAAACAATGTCCGTTACTCTCGTACACGAATTGTTCCAGTTTTTTTAATAAATATTGAAATGAATTTATCAATTTTTATCAATATAGCTTTTTTTGTAGAGTTTTTTTTTTTTTATCAGCGTGAGAATGAGAAACCTCCAAAATTTCCTCGTAGATGGAATCTCTCCCTCCCGAGTCCCGACCATCGTGTTTTGTTTTGCCCCCCCCTATATCCCGCTCAATAAGCGCCGTTTTGCTTCCCAAAATGACGTCGTCACCTCCAAATCGGGTTGCCTACAATTAACCGGTTAAAACTTAAACCGACCTATTTGGCTACACCAAGCTTAAACCGAATAAATCCAAACCCTCGCGAATCGAAGGGTTCGATATGAAGTGATAAATAATTTAAAAAGAAGAAATGGGATAAGAGGAGAAGTTTCGTGGTGTAGGACGACCGTAATGGCGCAGACACTGAAAGCGGCTGCAGTTCCCGTTAGTTTCCGGAGGGAGAGAGAGAGGGATAGGGTCGCCGAAGCTTGCTCTTTAGCCGGTGATATTCCTTCCCATCGCAGGTTAAGGCTCCGTACTGTGGCCAGGTGGAAATTGAACGATATCGGTCCAAGTAAGCTTCTTCGTTTTCTTCTTTCGATTTGGAGTTTTTCAGCTTAAATATCAAATTCAGGTGGTCGTTGAATAGATGCTGTGCAAGAGAGAGTGAGTTGGTGGGTATCCAAAACCCAGAATCTTCTGAACGACGTAACCTCGCCGCTGGTTAAAAAAGGTCAGAGTGTGGGCGATGATGACGGGGATCAATCTGATTCTCAACACATGGACGAACTTTTTACAGTTGACCAAACAATGCATCGCCACACGCTAAACGGACCTCTTTCTTTACCTGCTATCGTATCCGTCGAGCAGTTTAGCAGGTTACCCATTTTCACAATTTCCTTACTATGCCAGCAAGCTTAAATAATAAAAAAAGTGTTTTCCATTTGTCTTTGACCCTCCAAATTGCAGGATGAACGGATTAACCGGACAGAAAATGCAGGAAATATTTGATACACTTGTTCCTCCACCCTTATCTTCCAATGCTCGTTACCTGGTGGAATATTGCTGTTTCAGGTTCTTGTCGAGGGATAGTTCTGAATTTCATCCCTCCCTCAAGGTCTGTTGTAATTCTCATGTTTTTGGACAGCGTCACTGATGACGTAAACAAACCTTGTTTTCTTTAGCTGCGAGTGCAGTTGGAAACATCCATTGGTTTCTGTTCGTTTATTTTTACCTACTACTATAAGAAGAATCCGTATGCTGTTGAAAATGCATGATGATTTCTATTGAATAACTTAGTTTTTGCCTTTCTTGATTTTTTACCCATGCAAAATTGTTATCGTTGCAGGAGCCTGCGTTCCAGAGGCTGGTTTTCCTTACAATGCTTGCATGGGAGAGTCCTTACTCAAAAGAAGGAGATGAATGGGATTATGCCTCAGAGAAACCCTCTTTTCAGGTTTTTGTTAGAGCTTTCAATTTTCTTTCGTTACATGTTCTGCACTTGAATCTCATAATTCCCTGCTAAATTTTGTTTTTGGTAACGTCCCTGCTAAGTTTGATGACAAGAAATAGTATCAAACAGTGGAATTTATGGATCCATCATTGATTTTTTTCTTCTGTATATCAATTATATTGTTTTGAACAAAAAATATTGACAAAATGTTAATGGCTGTTAAAGGGTCGGTTTGTAGGAGAAGATGCATTTGTTCGTATTGCTCCTGCAATCACAGGCGTAGCTGATAGGGCAACTGTTCATAGCCTCTTTAAGTCTCTGGCTGCTACTGGTCAGGGGATTTCTTTGGCGATTTGGCTGACTTACATTCAGGAACTTGTCAAGTGAGTATGATGTTGGCCTTTTCTTCCTCCATTGATTCACTCAAAACGATGAACTGTAATGTTTTGAATACTACCATGCTTTTCGATGTTACATGGGCCTATCCTCTCCCGCTTTTTTCTATTCAATTCTTTGTGCATCTGGTGAAATCATTAGTATGATTAGCATTCGTCAGAAATGTTTTTTTTGTTAATGGTATTTATATTAGAAATAGAATTATACAAGAGAGAGTTTAGACATGAACTCACATCTACAAAATCTAATAGGGAGATATTTCCCAAATAACTATGATCTATTCAAAGTAAAAATTAAACAGTGCTAAACCACAACTGTAACAATTCACTTGCAAAGGAAGGTTTCGTGAGGCGTATGGCTGCGAGTTTTCTTCGTAGAGATTTATCCACATCACCAAACTCAGAGGTTGCATCTGAAAAAACTTGATTGTGTATACGGTTGTTCCTCTCCTTCCAAATGATATATGTGAGTAGTTGCCACGAGATTAAAACGAGAGAACTTAAATGTATAACATACTTATTAAGTGGAACTTATAAGTATAACATACTTATTAACTTGGTTTGCTGCATCGATAGTGAGGGATTCAATATTATTTTAGCTGAATGTCTTTCCATTGTCAGGATAGAGTGCATGAAGGACGGAGGTCATACCAGCCTCGTGAATATCCAAAGTTATCATCAGAGAGACTTTTATGCGTTGCTTCTAGCAGAAAAGGACCTGTTCTAAAATGGGAGAATAACTTCGCATGGCCAGGAAAACTAACTTTGACTGATAAAGCACTCTATTTTGAGGTATTTATAGTTTATGGATTATGTTCAATTAACGTGAATGGATAGAATTCTGCAACCTAATTTTCTTCTCATGCCCATTGATGGAGACCGTATTTTTTGGAGATGGATTGCCTGTTGCTTTACATTTTCTCAAAATATGTTTTTTTTATCTTTATGTATCTTGTGCATGTATACGCAAATCTATCTGGAAATCCCTGGTCCTGAACTCAGACAACATATCTGAGAGCTAAACTCTCTTTGAATTGATCTTTTGGTATATGAATTTGTTATGATTTTTGTTATTTTCAGCCGGTTGGCTTAGCAGGAAGAAAAGAAGTCATGAGACTTGATCTCACAGGAGACTCATTATGTGTGGAGAAAGCAAAAGTGGGCCCCCTGGGTTCAGCCCTTTTTGATTCTGCAGTATGTGTTTCATCTGGTTCTGGGTGAGTTAGCCTTCAGGAACAAATTCTACAACATAACTTTATGTTTTCATGCAAATCTTGGATTGGCGCCTTTCTGAGTGTCTTACATGTCAACATAATTGAAGTAGCTTGCTGCTAGCATTGGCGTTGTTGTCAATAATTTTCATAAATATCGACTTGTGAAATGTAGGTTGGACACATGGATTATGGAGTTTGTTGACCTAGGGGGCGAACTGAGACGAGATGTTTGGCATGCAATAATCAGTGAAGTTATCGCGTTGCACGCTTTTCTGCGTGACTTTGAACCAGAAGAAGATGATGAATCTTTGCTTCATGTGTTTGGTGCAAAGAAGGGAAAGGAAAAGGCAATTGGGAGCGCATCCAACTGCATTGCAAGACTTCAAGCCCTTCAAGTTATGCGAAAGTTGCCAGATGATCCCGTCAAGCTAGCTCAGTTCTCTTATCTTTGGCATGTACCCTATGGTGACATTGTATGTCAGGCTTTAGCTGTAAACTTTTGGGGTGGACCGTTAGTAACAATAGTTGCTGGAACAACATATAAACCAGGCCGGAAGAGTCCTGAAGAGTTCCTTGAAAGCATTGATCATGCCTACGATATAGATGGAAGTATTTACTTGAACAGGTGGATGAAATCTCCATCCTGGGTCTCAACTGCCTCTATTAATTTCTGGAAGAACTCTGCTTTAAGACAAGGCTTAGTACTCAGCAAACACCTTGCTGTGGCCGATCTTACTCTTGTAGAAAGAGCAGCAAAGACATGCAGAAAAAAATATCAGGTGGTGGAAACAACTCAAGCAACTATTGATGCTGCAACCATCAAAGGAATTCCTAGTAACATTGATCTCTTCAAGGTACCACTTATTTCCCGTTCATTGTTTCTCTACAAACTATTATTTTTGAGGGATGCTACCTGCTTCGTGTTCAAATAAGTTTCGGCGCCTCTCTGCACTGTATTCAGTATTTGTATGGTGTCATTTCATTACCAGGAAACATTTGCAGCAAAACTTAATTAGGTCAGAACATAATGTCTCACTCAATATTCTCTTCTTTTCCCATATGCGCAATTTTCTCTCCCAGGAACTCATGCTGCCACTGACTATAACTGCCACAAATTTCGAGAAACTCAGGCGCTGGGAGCAGCCTCATTTAACTGTTTCTTTCCTTGCAATTGCGTCAATGCTAATTTTAAGGTTGGTTTATATATCCTGCATGCTGTATGAATAGGTAGCTCCATGCACATTCTATGAAGTCTGATCATTACATCCAGGGCATGAATTCACAAGGCATAGTAATTGTATTAAACCAGTTGAGCTAATATGTAATGTATTCACACTGCTGCTCAACATTGAGGATACCTTCTCCCCCAGGAATCTTTTGCCATACCTATTGCCTGTCTCTTTGATGATTTTGGCGACTGGGATGCTTACATTGAAGGGACTCTGGCAACAAGGCCGCCTTGGAAGATCATTTGGAAAGGTTACTATCCGAGATCAGCCACCATCAAATACTATTCAGAAAATTATTGCTGTAAAAGATGCCATGCATGATATGGAGAGCTATCTCCAGAATGTGAATGTGGGCCTCCTAAAACTACGGACAATTGTACTATCCGGTCATCCTCAGGTATGTTTTAGGGGTCGGAGGCACATTGTTGAAAAGCAGAACGTTTTTTTTGTTACTCAATAATTTGAGAATTCCAACAAAGAAGACGATTTTGGTTTTGCCTGTGATACTGGTAGTGACTGTAGTTATCGACATGAGGATGCTTTGATTTTTTTCAGAAAGGCTTTTGCAGCTTTGCTATTAACAGATTCGAACATTTTGCCAGATGACTACTGAGGTGGCATTGGTGTTTCTAGCTCTTGCAACGGTTCTACTCGTTGTCCCTTTCAAGTTCGTTCTTGTTTTCCTTCTCTTTGATCTCTTCACTCGGGAGCTCCAGTTCCGGAGAGAAATGGTAAAGAGGTTTATGGCTTACTTAAGAGACCGCTGGGAAACATTGCCAGCTGCTCCTGTTATTGTATTACCCTATGTAAATGAAGAGCCTCCATCGTCTTCTGAAGGAAAAGGAGCAGTCGAGGAAGCAAAGGCAGAAAGGAATTAGAATCGACAAGCTTATGTAACCATCTGTTACTCGTAGGTATAGGTTACTTTAGTTGCAGCTCAAAAGTTTATGCAGAAACAGGAGGCACAAACAGGGGTATGTACTGTTTTAGTGGACAGTTATCTACTTCTGTTCAATGTATATAACATGTATACATGTATAAGGCCTGTATAGTTTATGAAGCTGTAAGTCATGGACGTTGAACTTGCCCAGGTGCTGTAATAGCTGTTTTCTCTCATAATTCTTGTATGATAAACAAGTTTGTTCTCGTGCATTTCTCATTTGTGAGCGTCTCACTCTCTATCTCATATTTGTTTCAATTTTGTTCCAGACTGATCAGTTTCTCAATGTTTCTGATTTACAATACGTATATGTATGAATATGTGTATATATAAAAAATTATATGTATATAAGTATATAAATACATGTGTATATGAATATATATGTATATGTATATAATATATTATTTCTGTATTTTTTCAAATTTAAAAAATATTTGCGACGAAGATAATGTGTATATTTATATATGATATATATGTATGTCTATATATATGTATATGTGTAAACATATGTATATGTATTTTTAGTTTTAAATTTTTAATTTTTACTTATTAATTATTAATT